GAGTAGCCTTGAAGTCATAGGGGCTGCTTGATGCCTGCAGAGCACGCAGATGGCGAGTGGACAGTGGTAACGACGGCGTAGACTGTATCAATCTAGACGTGGATGCTGCAGACCGAGGTCCACGACTCGGCCTACGAGAGAGGGACGATGTCGAAGCGCTAACGTCGGGTGTGGCAACGAGAGACTGGATCTGGGATTGGGAGTGGAAGACTCTTGGCCGAGTGATGACTCCACCGCCTACGGCAGGGATGGTCTCATACTCTGCCGAATCATCAACTTCTGTAACAGATGACGGAGGAGTGTAGTCGGGAATCGTGTCTTCCCATTCGACGACATCAAATGAACCTGATCCGACTTCGTCCAAGTCCTCCACTGGCTCTTCAGTTAACGAAGCTAACCCCTTGTTTGGTGCGAACAGACGTCCAAAGCTATTGAATAGACTCTTAGTCGGCAGGCCTTCTGGACGGAGGCCATACGTAGGGTCGAAATTCTCGATGTCCGGGAATGACATAGGAGAGTCCTGGGAGGGGGACTTGATTTGCACAGGAGGGGACGAAATCACGGACGGTGGCGTCTCACGCGTCGTGCTCGCAAGCGATGAACTTGACGGGGACCGGAGTCTAGCGAGAGAGGACACACCCAATGTATGGTGACGAAGATAGGACGGAGGCACTGGCAGTCCTACACTCGCTGTGCGAGGGTAACGAGGAATGGAAGGTAGCGACATCGCATCTGTGCTCTGCGCCTTCGGCCGCTTAGACAGATACGGTGCCTCAACTTTCGCCTTCACCCACTGCTGGCTCAGGCGGTGAATGATGCCAGGTAAGTCCTCCCTGAACATCTGGCGCAGCTGGCCCTCAATCTCTCGCTGAATGTACTTCTGGATCACGGCGATGGAGTCGAAGGTACTGTTAATGTCCACGTTTTGTAACGGGTCTGTCTTGAAGACAAGGGTGATCCCTTTCTGCTTGGACACCACGAGGACGACGTAGGAGCTAAGCTTGATATGGGACAATCGGAGTAGCATGGGCACCACCAGTGGTTGCTTTGCGGCAAGCATGCCCCTCGAGCCGGCGATCAAGTGGATGTCAGGATGTTTGTGGTTGAGAGGATTTGCCTGAACAGAGATTTCAAGCTCCTGCTTCATTCCGTTAACTTTCGAGGCTACTCACCTGGACCTTCGTTCTCAGCACCAGATGCGCATCTCCAGAGTAGGTGAGACGAAAGATACCACGAAACTGATCCAGGGTAAGCTCTCCAATGTCACGAATCTCAAGCTCTGGGGGCTATGAAGTCTACCAATTAACGTGCAACAGCAGAGGAGATTTCATGCATGACAGTTTACCTGAGTACCCATTTCCAGCTCTACCACCTCAATCTTATCAGCAATAATTGGGGGCTTGTTACCCTTGTTCAAGGCTGAGTTGAGCATTTGGATTGCATCTGCATGGAACTGATCGGAAAATCTCGGCCAATTGAAAGTGAAGGACATGTCGACGAGAGCAAGCAGTGTTCTCGAGTATTCACAGGTGAAGTCTCGAGTTGTGAAACAGTCTATGAATGGTTACATGCTGCATGCAGCTGAGAGAGCAGGAGGGCAGGTTTGTAAAGCGTGGATACAGTGACGGAACGGAACGGCGACTCGTCGCACAAACGGTCGCGTGGAGTCGAGATATGAAAGTTCGTAAGCTAAGCCGACTGTTATAGAGAAGTTAAACAGCACTAGTCTCCAGCCCAGTCCACTGTTGGCAGCCTGCTGCAAGAGGCAACAGAATTGAAAGGACGTAAAACTAAAATAACACGGCGAAGGCCGATGGCTGTCACCAGAATAGCCTCCGTGTGACCATTTGGCAGGTGCAACAGTACACCGTCAACCTGTCTCTTCGGCAGCTGGCTGCTTTGTTTAACGCGTCGTTACGGCCTAGTTCTGAGATTTCTGACATGAACGGTGTACGAAGGTTTCTAGGTGGCGGACTGGCAAACGGCGCGCCATCGCAGTCACCCCCGCAACAGACGCCAATCCCCCCTCCAATTCAGCCCACAGCCCCATTATCAATATCAAAGCCCTCATGGCCACCGAGTCCCACCGGAACGCAACCAGACTCCCCCTTAGGCAGTCCGAAAACCACAACAGTTAGCTTGTTCCTACGAAAGGACAAGCAACGACCCGTAGCGCAGCCAGGTGAGGAAGGGTCGGAGGGCTCTCCAGGAGGACAGTCTACACGACCTACGTCGAATTCCTCCTCTATCTTGTCTCCGAGTCGTAGTCGTGGTTCCATGCCTGCGTCCTCACCCGCCACAACCCCTGGCGGACCAAGTCAGTCACTACCATCATCTCCAGGAGCGGGACCCTCTTCATCCCCTGTCCGTCCCGGCATGTCCAATCGTAAATCAGTTATGTCCAGGAAGTCAATACACCACGTCGATCAAAACTTCAGACCGGGCTCGGGCATGTTTAACACCAAGGATGAGTTGCTCATGGACCTTCTCGCAAGCGAAGCTGTCGTGGACAGCAGAAACTACTTGATTCTCAGTGCGGAGGAAGTCGAAGAGCTCAAGAAGGTTAGTACCCAGTGTCTGCTTTATAACTTCCCTAAATTCTCGCCGTTCATACATTACAGGAGCAACAAGTTCTCACATCCAGGCTCGTGGCACTGGATAAGAAACTCACTTTGGAGACAAAGATTCGAGACGCAGCTGTCTCGCTATCGAAAGTCAATGCTGCGAATAAGAAAATGTCGAAGCAAACCCAGGAACAGCTAGACGCTGCTAACAATAAGGTCGACGTTGCCCAGAAGGAACTCTGGCGAGTTTCCGAGAGGGCAAATGATATCAGTCGCAAATTACTAGAACACCGTGCTGGAGTATTAGGCTTCTCCGTTCGGTCTCTGGAAAAGAAGAATGCACCGAATAACGATGCAATGGATTTCGATGGGTCTGGCTATGATACTCCCAACCGAAGTTCAGCAATGAGTCCAACGTCATCCGCCCAGACCAGCGTATCATCCAAGGCTCGTTTCGAGGGTCCTCATTATTTTGCTGGCCATGTGGATGCCATTGTGCCACAAGTTCCTCGACCACCTCCTACTATCGCTGACATCATTACGCTAGAGGAGAAGTTGAAAGTCGTGAGCGACAACCTGAGCGCCGCGAACCGAAAACAGGTAGAGATGCGCCAAGAGCTTTCCCTTCTACAGCTCGAGAAGGAGCAACTTGAGACTTCAGCGCAGTTGGAGATTCAAGATGCGGAGGCATCTGTTGCGGCGATACAGCAAGAGCTGCTGGAGGAAAAGGAGACATGGGAGAGGGATCGAGCCGCGTTGGAGGAGCGAGATCGGCAAATAGAAACGCTGGAGAGCAGACTTGAGGTGTTGGAAGAGCAGAGCGGGGAGGTATCCGAACTGCAAGACAGCTTGGTGCGAGCTCGACAGGAGTCTCAGCGGAAAGATCTGGAGATCGAGGACCTGAGATCAAGACTAGATATCGGGACGCAATCAGGAGAAGCTAAAGGAGCTCTGCTGGATTTACAGGACGAATTGGACAGGTATCGGCAAGCTCTACACCAGTTGACCAACGCCCATGGTATCACAGTTGCATCTGCTGATCCATCGTTCTCTCCTTCCATTGAGATGTACATAGAAGCTATCGCTGGCGATTTGGAGGAACGCCGTTTTGCTCAATTGGAATGGGTCACGGCACAACGCAAATTGGAAGAGACCGTGCAGGAAGCCAATAGCAAGGCGAGTAATCTAGCTCAAGAGCTAGACCGAGTCAAGCGTGAGCGGGAAGAGATCAGGTCGCAGCTGTCGGCTGTCCGAAGCAGTCCCCAGGTTGGGCTGGTTTCTCGAGTTCACGAACCTGAGTTCTTACACATTTTCTTGGACAGGAGCGCTCAACTACGCCTTCTGCTGTGGAGTACACAGGCGATGCCGCGAAGGTCATGGCCGTACTCCAACCCTTGTGGTCTATTCTCCCCTCTCCCGAAGCGCGTGCATCCAAATTGGGTCCTCGAGCACCTTTCCGGACTGGGCTCGCCTCTCCAACCAGTTCGCCAGGAAGCCCGAAAATCGGCGCTACGTCACTTTCCGATCTGGATGTACGCACATTAAAGACGCTGTATGACAATCGTGTCAGCAATCCGGCATCACCCAATTTTGGTTCCTTCACTGTCGAGGCGCTTGCAGCTAGGGTTCAAGCACTTGTTCAGGACGATAGGGCCCTGATTGAGCGTCTTATACGGTTCGCGCAAGCACACGATTTGCTGAAGAAGAATGCAGAGAGAGCGCAGAAACTTGCCCAGGAGAGTAACCAGGCGCTTGAGACGTACCAGAAACAGGTCAAAACACTCGAGGAACGTCATACTACCATGGCTGCGAGACAGACTGCACTGTGAGTCGTTTGAAGTTTGTGTTTGATCTGTTTTTCATACCGCTGCGGTACTGGTAGACAGCAAGAAGTGGACCGGCTCCAAGAGACTATCGAGCGCATCACTGCAGAGAAGCACGAGGTCGAGATGCATGCGGCAGAACAAGCGGAGACATGTCGCCAGCTAACCCAGGCCAACAATGCACTCAGCGCGCAAACTCTTACACTGGCTGAAGAAGCTGCATCTGCATCTGAGGGTGTCAGGCGGCAAACAGAGGCGCAGCTTGTCGAGCTGAAGACGTCATTGCAGAAAGCTGAAGACGAGCTCGAAGCATTTCGTATTTCTGAGCAATCGCAGAGAGCGGCCTTATTGGATGAGCTCAACTCGATGCAGACGGAGAATGGTAACCTCAGAGCTCAGTTGAGAGCTGTGGCTGCCAAGAAGTGATGTTTCTTCATCTCCTTCGTTTCTCTGTGTCTAGGATTACCGTCTCATTTATGTATCTTTACGCAAAGCTTATTGTCATGTCTAATACCTCACACACCTTAATATACCATCTGACTTGGTACAGGTAGGGATAATAAGTATCTGATAACCATGCATTATATACAGTTCTAAGTCAAATTGGACAGAGGCCCCCGTTGTCTAATGGTTATGACGTCAGACTTCTATATTATTGATGGCATCTGGAGGTTGCGAGTTCGAGTCTCGCCGGGGGCTTGGTGATGTTATTTTTCGCACTCACTGGAGGCAAAACTACCCTCTATTTAATTCCCATATCGCGTGGCCAAACGAGACATTAATTGGTCTTGATAACCCCACCGGCTACCACGTCTTTGCCGCCGTGACCACCGAGACTTCCTCGAAAGGCAATATTTGGCTCGTACGTACAATTAACTCACCACGAGACGCGGATTCCGGTCCCGTATGCAAATATAGAGCGCCTGCGTGCCCGCACAGAACACGTGCCTTGTGACCCAAAGTTATGTCTGGCTTGAGACGGAATGCCCAGACTGGATTATCATCTCCCAGTCGACTCCCTGCTGAAACGAGGGGATAAGATGGGATATATTAGACCTGCAATAGTATATATGTATTCATCTCAAGTGAGTCGTCCATCTCTTGCTCTCCGGTTAGATCGACGCTTATCCTGAGGATAAATCGTCGCATTCGTTCCCTACGGAACACGAGACAGGACTTGTCTGAGATGCATAGGAATCAGAGAGGGAAGCGCAGCGATCAACAATCATCGACACTTTCAGGAATTAATAGCATATCTCCTGGCCTTCAATGTTATCGGCACAGTACCTATAGGTTTACCTGTCAAAACTCACCTAAGGGGAGGTACCAAAATATTTGGAGCGGCTAAAAAATTGTAATCAAATATAGTACGGTCTTTATGATGTCCAAAGTACACCCGGAGCAACAAATGAGGTTGCGGCGCTTTTTCTGTGTTCGCCCCGCCGCAACAGTTACGGAACATAAATGGTAATAGAGCGGAGCGCCATGAGTGCACAGCTCTAAAATAGCGATGCGTTGTTCTCGAATTATGGGGCTTGTCAGGATAACGGCCAATACTCTAGATCGCTCTTATAATGTATGAGCTGCAGTCTGCTGCAGTCTCCGAGGCGGGGCCTGACGAGGTGCACCGGAAACAGCCGAGAGGTGAAGACACAGCGGCCAGAAATATATCCCTGCGATATCAATCACATCTGCAAGATGCAGGCTAACCCAAACATTCAATTGTGCCAGTAGGTTGGTCGATGAAATAATGAGTGCAGATGAAAGGACAGAGCAAGGCACGTTGCCGGTGAACGCGAAATTGGCCGGAAGCATCTTCTGTCCCGACACTTACCAAAAGAGGCCAAGCTTCTAAACTATTGATGCCTCGGCCGGCATCTGAGTTGCAGACCGAAAGATACCGAGAACAACGAGATCGCAGCCTTTGTGACGGAGACGGTGGCATAGGAACAGGGATTACCGTTGAAAGACCGGGTCGGGCAACGAGGCACAGGGCAGACACTGGAGAGAAGTGGGCGCGGGTGGTGCGTGGCAAAGTGTATCAGGATCTCTCATTTCTGTGGCACAGAAGGACACACCGGATTCCCACGCAGAACCAAGAAGCTCGCGTAGCAGCGTCCTCCGTACTCCCACACTCCAGAACCTCTTATTTATCTTACTCACAGCATTCCTCCTCTCTTCTCTCCTGCTGCTGCCAAGCCTCGCTCTTACTCCTATGCAGGCAGTAAGTTCGCCGGTGGCAAGCCCTCGTGGGACGCCCTCTCGTCGGGGCAAAACGCCTCGTTCCAGGAGCGACACTCCCGGCCACATGGCTCCAAACGCAATGCCTACTGATGCCACTGTTAAACAGCCTGCCACATTTACCTCATGCCTTTCGATTCCCGTCGAAGGCGCAGTGCCTATTGACAGCCGCAACGAGTCGACTGTCACCGCAGCCGACGAATCATCTACCCAGCAGTCCACCCAACCGAAGAGAGCACCGCGCAAATCCAAGACGGACGCCCTAGCAGCGTTGCAAATTCAATCGGAGGTAAATTGCCGCTACTCGGGACTATCAATACTCCGAGTTGTTCTGATTCATTCCTTTATCAGCCTGAAGTGGCTCCCATTCCTGTTTCCCCGACTCTCAACATGTCGTCTGTCAAGACTTCGGCTCCCAGAAATTTGCCTCCAAAGGCTGATCCTCGTCCGTTTGGACTCGAGGACTGTCCTGTTTTCCATCCCACTGCCGAAGAATTCAAAGACCCTATGTCTTATATTCGATCGGTATCTGATGTAGCGAAAGACTACGGCATGTGCAAGATTATTCCCCCGGAGGACTGGAAGGTACCGTTTGTCACCGATACCGAGGTTTGTGGCATGATTATATCGTCAAGTTATTGGTACCATTCTTGACCTGACATGGGGGTTGCTCAACAGAGCTTTCGTTTCAAGACTCGTCTTATGCGCCTGAACTCTATCGAGGCTTCGTCCAGAGCCAAAGTAAATTACTTGGAACAGCTCTACCGTTTTCACAAACAGCAAGGCAACCCGCGAGTGTGTGTACCGACTATCAATCACAAGCCCTTGGATCTCTGGCTCTTGAGGAAGGAGGTGAAGAGGCTCGGCGGCTACGAAGCGGTAATCATGTTTTCGATCTGTTGTCTTGGACTATGTGGTGACACGGCTGAACAGGTGACGAAGGCGAAGAAGTGGGCCGATCTTGGTAGGATTCTTGGATACGGCGGTATACCTGGTCTATCAACACAGATCAAGAATTCCTACACTCGCGTTATTCTTCCCTACGAGCATTTCCAGGAGCGGGTACGCAACTCCTCGTCGTTGTCGCCGATTACGTCACGCGATCCTCAGCTTAAAACGCACATGAACATCCAGACTGGCTCCAAGCTCAGTCGTCTAAGTACTTCGGCTATGACAGACGATACGACGCCTCCATCGAGCCCTCTGACAGCTACATCGAGTCCTTTGTCAGAGCCCCCAGATGAGAGTGATAACAGAGGTGTCAACGGTGATGGAAGCCGGACTAGAAGGAGCAAGCGGACAGGCTCCCAAGAGTACATGACTCGTGAGTTCGACATCATTGTTTGAGGTGACTACTGCTGGAGTAGAGGATGTCAATTTTTTTTAGCTGCGCCGAGTACGTTGTTACCGTCACCCGTCATATCGTCTTCCGGCGTCCTTGACAAGAACGAGGAGAAAGGAGAGCCATCCCAGGAGGTATGTTATTGAGTCAGCAGGAATGATCAACCGCTAATTAGCTCTAAAGACAAGTTGTGAAGTGTGTCACAAGAAGAATCGTGGCGAGGAGATGCTGCTTTGCGATGGCTGCGATTGCGGTTCGTAACTATTTCGCGCTCACTATTGGGTCGAAGATAGCTGACGCACTCTATTTATCAGGTTTCCATATGTTTTGTCTCGACCCTCCTCTCACGTCCATTCCTAAGGGACAGTGGTTCTGCCACACCTGCCTTTTCGGCACTGGTGGTGACTTCGGCTTCGATGAGGGAGACGAGCACAGTTTGTCTAGTTTTCAAGCTCGCGATGAGGCGTTCCGTAAGATGTGGTTCACGTCACATCCTCCGCCTCAAGCAGACAAGTCCGCTCGGGACCCAACAGTCAATCACTATGATGACGTTCTAGTCTCAGAGTATGACGCCGAAGAAGAATTTTGGCGGCTCGTCCAATCACCTCAAGAGACTGTGGAGGTTGAGTATGGTGCTGACGTCCATTCTACAACTCATGGAAGGCGAGTATCATATCTAAGTTCTTGACCGCGTTTGGGGCTTCACACATTCTCTAGTGCAATGCCTACTCTCGAGACTCATCCGCTGGATCCCTATTCAAAGGATCCGTGGAATCTCAACAACATCCCTATTGTCAACGACTCGTTACTACGGTACATCAAATCCGATATCTCTGGTATGACGGTCCCGTGGACCTACGTGGGTATGGTATTCTCTACCTTTTGCTGGCATAACGAGGTATGAGTGTATCGTTCTCACATATCCCTGTTCATCTGACAAATAATTGCATAGGACCATTATACGTACAGCATCAATTTTAGTAAGTGAATGGTTGTGGTGAGATACTGGAACCTGCTGAGCGCCGTAATCAAGTGCACTGGGGCGAGACCAAAACTTGGTACGGCATCCCGGGGGAGGACGCGGAGAAATTCGAAGCGGCTATCAAGAGTGAAGCTCCGGACCTTTTTGAGGCGCAGCCGGATCTGCTGTTCCAGCTTGTAACACTTATGAACCCGAAGCGACTCACGGAAGCTGGTGTGCGTGTGTATGCGTGCAACCAAAGGGCCGGCGAATTCGTGATCACTTATCCGAAGGCCTATCACGCCGGTTTCAATCATGGGGTGAGGCAGTCGTCTATATTCCAGGGTTATGGCGTTTTAACTATATTCGTTTGTCTCAGTTCAATTTCAATGAAGCCGTAAACTTCGCCCTGCCCGATTGGCTTCCCAATGGCCTTGCATGTGTACAGCGATACCGAGAGCACAGGAAGATGCCTGTGTTTTCTCACGATGAGCTGCTTGTGACAATCACACAACAGTCACAGTCTATACAAACAGCGATTTGGTAAGTTATGCTTCATGGCGCGGTTGCAATAGTGGCGAGTATCTGACATCGCTCTCCCTCAGGCTCAATGACAGCCTAAAGGAGATGACAGAGCGTGAGAGAGATGTTCGCCAACGTGCCCGCGCCCTCGGCCTTACCGAGATCTTGGAAGAGGAAGACCGCCAGGAGGACCAGTATCAGTGCACGGTCTGCAAGACCTTCTGCTACTTATCGCAAATCACATGCCCGTGCACCAACAAAGTTGCGTGCATTGATCACGTTGACGAACTATGCGGGTGTCCAGCCGGTCGTCGGGTTGTGCGTTTGCGCCTCCCGGATGATACGCTGCTCGAGACTCAAGCCAAAGTGGAGGAGCGAGCCGCCATCCCGGATAATTGGCGGGCGAAACTGCACAAGACTCTCGCGGAGACTGCGAGACCTCAACTGCGCACTTTGAGAGCCCTGTTGGCAGAGGGTGAGCGCATAAACCATTACCTCCCAGACTTGGCCACTCTCAAGAAGTGTGTGTATCGCGCTAATGAGTGGACGGAGGCTGCGAACTCGTTCATAATTCGCAAACAGAGTCGGAAACGTTCTAGGAAGTCTCGCAGCGGCCGGCCATCTACTGGAACC